CTCGAAAGCTTGTCCATATACGATGTTGCTGTGCAATGTGAGAACAAGAACAGGAACCGGAAAAGGGATGAGGCCGGAAATCGATGCCAGACGCCATTTTGGAATCCAAGATGGCGACCATCGGGTCAAGAAAAACTGTCGAATACCCTACAATATGGGTATTTCCGGAAAGGGAATAACATGTAGAGGCCGAAAATCGATGTCAGACGCCATTTTGGAATCCAAGATGGTTGCCATCGGTTCAAGAAAAGCTGTCAAATACCCTACAGCATGGGTATTTTCGGATAGGAGATGACATGTAGAGACCGGAAATCGATGTCTCTCTCCAACGGGGGAGTTTGTTAAAGAGAGATGATCAAACCGATTTGTACCTTCCTTAAAGTTGTCCTTGCCCGCTTTCTACTCTCTATATACAATTTTCACACTGCCGTACTCTAATGGAACTATGATCTCTACACTTTCATCTCCTCATCTATCGTAAGAAATTACCACTTTAGTCTGTTATTTGAAATTTGCATCTTCAACTATGTAAGTCGTTTACTCCACGCAGAAGTCATACAAACAAATAGTTAAAGTATCAAAGATTCACCTGGTAACAGAAAGTGTAATTTCATGCATTCTGAATGGTGGCCATAACTACCGATTTATTGGTAGCCCTACCGATTTTCGGGATGCCTACCGATTCACAGACGAAAGGTTCAAAACTACCGATTTCACACTTTTGCTACCGATAATCACAGATTTTAAGTAATCTTGAAAAATGTTCAATACCTATGTTTTGTTTTCCGTGTAGTCAGTCAATTGGGTTGTTTATCTTCGAAAAATATACTGATTTTTATACATCATCTGACAGAGCATCGTTTTTGCCCCGTAACGTGGGTAGATCACCTTTTCGTGGTACGTTACGGGATGTAAGATCTACCACCGATTCCTAGTCCTAACTTCTTCAAACTAGGGGAACAGGATTTTTCAGTAATCAAAGGAACACATCTTAGTCCTTGTTACTTTTTATGCCTTGTTGATAGTGATAAGTCTTCGGGTTGCCTGAACCGAGGATGATCTTAAAACAACGCAAAAAATGAGTTAGTTAGTCTTCCCCTATGTGATCTTCTAATCGTTGTTCCCTAGTTTGAAGTGGTTAAGACAAGGGTTCTGATGCATGGTCATTATCGGTGTCATAGCTTGTTTTTGCTGTTAAGGAATCCAATTTTGACTGACGAAAAACCTTTTCGCATGCGTTTTGTTCTCGACCTTAATTATGCGTGGAGTGCGTTCTTTTGTACGTACGAGCTAGAAGAGCGTTATCAGTGATTGCGGTGGTTCAAGGAAAATTAAATAAAGCATTTCTGAAAACATGACGCTGCAAAGTCTCTAAGCCAATCGGGTGAGATCTTTCCATTTTATCTATTTATATTTTATTTTTTGTCACTGATTTATCAAATGCTCTATATTGACGAATAGAGTTGCCAAATCATTCACCCTCCCACTAACACAACTCTTTCCTTCCTGTGACACCTATGAAGGTAGTATGGGTTCCCTGCACCTTCTTAAGTAGATGTTGGATTAACTTTCCCTCCCTTCCCCTGCGATTTTAAGGATGTGGCCAGGTGTATAATGCGATGCTTGTATTGTAGATTTTATTTTCGTGTGGGGAAAATCACTAATCCCAAGTTATATTTTCTGCGTCAACACTCGATGTTTTCAACAAAACGTATTAGTTGACCATTATATAGCCACCCACGATTTGTACAATCGCATATGCTATGCTATGCTATGCTATGCTATGCTATCATCTGACAGAGCATCGTTTTCTGAGCATCTTTTGATCGTTGACACTAAATCTATTCGTTGACAGCTCGTTCCCATACAAATCCCCACCAAGGGGCGCTAAGATGGTGGTTTTTGTTAATGTAATCGTATTTATTTAAAATAGTTCCAGTGAACCAAAATTAACGAAATTTTGGATTTCGGTTCCATTTTGAATGCAGATAACGAATATGTATTAACCTCAACCCAATTTGATCGAACGCGATTCGTTCTGTAACTTCAATCAAACGGATGAGTTTTTTTTTAAGTGTAATCGACTTTATCTGACTATTTTCAGTTTCTCCCTTTTTTGGTTCCGTATTCCGTTCGTCCTACTCACACTTACTTGTTATGATTAGACCACACTAATAAAGGTTCAAAGATTGTTTTTATGTGTCCCACACATGAATTTTTGCAATGTGATCAACAAATGATATGCATGTGTCGGACACATACTTAATATGTGTGCTCATAAATTGCATGTGTGCTTCTGAGTGGATTCTGTTTATGTGTGGTCACTTGAAAATCATGTGGAGTTTCGTCAGTTAAAATTTGTGGAATTTTGTGAGTGTAGAGTCGGTGTATAATCAGTCACGCCAAGAGAAAAACAGTTTAACTCGCATCACGGTTTTCGAAAGATTCCCTTTCTATTGACTTGGCAACAGAGGACTTCTACATCAATTTCAAATGACTTCTAATAATCATTATATAAGTGATTTTTTTCAAATTATCTCAACAAAAAATACTATAAATTCTTATTACTGATCATTACCAAACGTATCTCATGAGGATTTAATGCTCACTGCGTGTTAATGATCATTTCTTTGATTATATTTTATATTTTATTGCAATACCTTTCGTGGACCTTTCATAGCATCGTAATGTTTGTTTACTTTGCACGATAAGTAGTCGGTTTGACAGTTCAATAGGCAGACTTGGCTTCACTCTTGGCGTGACTCATTATACACCGACTCTAGATTAGACTATCCAATGTGTGAGGTTGAAGGACTGATTGCTCGGTTCGAAAGTCTAAAATTGCGCGTGATTTGTTTTCATCCTTCCCCCGCTCACAAAGGTTTTAAGTTTCAGGAAGCCTTCTTAAGACGGCCTACCGATAACTACCGATAAAAAAATTGAGAAGCTAACGATAATGAAAAAATAATCTGGCCACCCTGATTCTGAGTCACATTAGTTCAGTCGGTAAAGGCGCAGCTACAAAGCAAGACCATGCTAGAGATGGCTGGGATCAATTCCCGGTCCGGTCTGTGAAATTTTCGGGTTGGAAAATTTCTCGACTTCCCTGGGCATAGAAGTATGATTGGACTTGCCACACAATTATACCAATGCAAAAATGGTACAGGCATCGAAAACCCTCAATTAATAACTGTGGAAGTGCATCTAGAACACTAAGTTGAGAGCACGCAATAAGCTAATATGCCATATGCAATAAGGTTAAAAAAGCGAAGAAGAAGAAGAAGAGAAGACTAGTGCGGCCGACCACCCATAGGTGCCGTTACTTTAGTATTTTTATTAAAAAACATTTTTTTCAACTATCAAAACATTGGCGACAAACCCAACAATACCACCAATCCACCCCAACTGCTCCTACAAGCCCAACACTAATTGACCACGCGTTCGCTTATCGGGAAACAATATTGAACTCATTTAGCGACCACAACGTCGTCGTCGTCGTCGTCGTAGTCACTGCAAAGCGTGCCATAAAGGGCTCTGCACACTCAACATGTGTATGCAAACACATAGCAATATGTGTACACGTAAACAGACATCAATTAAGTTAATTAAATCAAGATATAAACCACGGCTAAGGCAACGGCATCATTCAACCCATTCTTACTGCCGCTCCGCGCTGCCCCAGCCAGACCAGCATTGATGTGCTCGACCAACACAGTAACGCTGGTTGCAGCGGTGTGAGAGCACCCGCAGGGCACACAAACAATCACTTAGCAGCCGTTTCGTTCGTGTTTGTGTACTTATGCATCATTTTCAGATTTTGTTCAATCCACAAATAGTCGTCAAAGTCGTCGTTTGCGAGTGTGAGTACTTGTCACAGCTATTTTTTTTTGTTTTACATAATAGTGATTATCGCGTCATGCCAACCAACTAACCAACCAGAACAGATGGGTAATTTACCGGTATGAACATCCTTTGCAGACGACGACGACGACGACGACGACAGCGTGACCAGCAGCGAACTGGTGCCTAATTCGATTTTAATTGTTTTGATAAAATTATAAATGTATGAAGGTTCTCAAGCACGTGAGGATTGGTAATGGAATTGGATTTCTATCCGATCGATGGATTGGGTGAGACAGTTTCGTTGAAAGTTTGATTACATTCAAACCTAGTGACATCTTTCTGTCGAATGCAGAAAGAAAAATTAAAGAAAAAGAAGAAGCAACCGTTTTGTTCAATTTGTCCGACAGCGAAACGCAATAACTACACTCCGGCCGCAGTCGTGCCCGGTTGGTTGCGGTTGCATGTTATCATGTTGTTCGTATTCATTAAAATTGCGAAGCCATTAATTTTGAAGCGGGTGTTAAAATCGTTTCATTTTCGCTCGAAATTGTACCATTTGACGCACGCTTTGTCTCTGCTGCTGCTGGGACAGCTAAAGCTAATGAAGCAATTTATTCAAGGAACTCAAAATCTGACTCACTTCTAGTGTGCTAAGACCGTAACCACATCAACGGAGGTTAGAATCCGGGGGTCGATAAATGGGCACCCAAAACAGCAGGGGCGCCATCTGCTCTCGATCCTCTCGCTTTGTGGTTCGCTTTGTGAACAAATTTTGCTGGACCTTCCTCAAGGACTCTCCCCACACTGCTTGGGGCATTACAGATTTTGCTTATCCTCTCTGTTTCAGACAGCAGCAGCAGCTGAAAATCCCTGCCTTGCCTGCAGAAATCACCAAACAGGCACACGACGATCAGCAGCCACAACAAAAAATGATGTTGGCTCGTGCTTTTCATTATTCATTTGTGTGCGCAAAAAAGCAGACCGCAGCAGCAATAAGGCCATCACTGCGGCTTGGAGCCAAGTTCAAGAACTATGTACCGAAGCAGATGCTGCTCATCTGGCTGCCAGTAGAATTGAAACGGTGGGGCACAAAATTGTCGGTATGGTTTGTCATTTTTTTGGGTAGGGAGACGATTGCTACAGATCACAATACTTACCGGTGTGGATGTACGTGTGCTTCTTCATGTCGGACTTTTGGTGGAAGCGTTTGCCGCAGTACTGGCAGGGATACGGTCGGGTGTCACTGTGGATCAGCAGATGAGTCGATAGCGTGCTGGAGCGTTTGAACGTTTTGCCGCACTGTTTGCACTGTCCGGGGAGGAAAGAAAAAGAAGAAAGCCCATATGGGCAAATTGTTAGAAACGAGGCAAAATTAAAGTGATTAAATTTACATTTTGGTTACGACGTGGAAACACCACGCCGGGAAACCGCAGGATTAGAGCCCGTCTTGCTTGTTACGGGCAACACAGATTGGGATAATTTAAATTTCGCACCACGAGTCGATAAACGCTGGAGATAAAACATTTCTTAACCCTTCGTGACGTGCATTGTGGCGTTGTGGTCGGCGGTTGGTGTGAATGTCCTTTGAGTGGTGCTTTCTGCTTTTGAACTGTACCAAATTTGGCATCGTTCAGGCGGAATCAGGCAAAATATCGGAGGTTTTCCTCGGGAGACTTCATGAGTCATGAAGCGACGAACCTTCAAATTTTAAAATTTATAATGTTTCAACTAATTGCAATCAATTTAAAAAAAAAAACGAAACCGATGCTTGAAATTCATCATTTTAGTGTGAATCCCCTTCCAGCCCTAATCGTACTTAAAACTGATAGTGACACCACGCCACTATTTATCCTAATGAAATAGTCTCAGCCCACACTCGCAATCGCAAACCCCCCCCCCCCCTCCCCCCAGAAGCAAGCACAGAGATACAGCCTGAAATAAATTACGGCACTATCTGCGACACTCTTAATATAGAGGACGACGCCATCTAGCGGTGGTAGTGGTGGTGGTGATGGTGGCGATGGTGGCGATGGTGGATCCAACACGAAATGGTGATTGTAATTTACAGATAATCGCACGCGACCAACCGTCCGACCGCGGTCACTTTTCAGCGCGCGGAAGGAAGAAAGGACACGACATGATAAAATACGGTGAGAGAGAGAGAGAAAAAATTCTCGCTGATCGCTTTTTTCGTGTAAATAATTAATAATTGTTGCGTTTCTATGGTCAGATAGAGAGCCCGGGAGTGCTTCCTCTCTCCAATGTGGCGGTGCGGTGGAGTGGATGGGGTTTGGTCACGATTTATTGGACGTTCCCGGTTCAAGTGGATCCCAAGGGAAGGCAGCGGTGTGGACAAACAGAAAAGGATTGATTGCATTGACCCAGTTGATAGATTTGTTGGCTGGTGTCATGAAACTCAAATGTACACATACACACACACACACACACACTCACACAAAACGAAGTAGTTTTCCCCCATCGGGACGGTAAAAGGGTGTAATAAAATCAATTTTCAATCAATTTTGATGATGAATAATTTACCTGCCACAGAATGATGGTCGTAAATATTGGATCGTCCCTTTTAGCGGTGGAAAAGTTTGGGTAAGCTAAAAATCACTTTAATAGAGTATTTAAAAAATGTTTTGGAATCATATGGCTAGTAATGTTGAGCATATTTCCAACTCTGACTTGTATTCCAGGATATTCTGATAAAAATACAAAGGAATTCTAAGGAAAGTTTCAAGAAAATTCCAAGAGATTCTGCTCAAGAGCATTTTGCGAAGCATTTTTAGGAAATTCTGAAGAAAATTTCTATGAAAGAAATTTTGGAATAACACTTTTCTAAATTCTAAATGGCATACCAAAATATTTTCAGGGATATTCCAAGCGAATTGTATAGAATTTTAAAGAGAGAAATTGAAGTTATTTCTGACGAAAAAAATTAAGAATATTCTGTAAATTTCAAGAGTTCTCTGGAGGGAATTCCTAAAATGTTTTGCACGAAATTACGGCCTTTATGGAGAAAATTTCTAGGGATTGACGGACACAATCATAAGATTATTGAGGAGGATCCTGATAGTTTACCGAATTCTGAAGTCATTCTTGAGAAATGTGCAATCATATCCTGAGATAAGTTTCAAAGATGTAATTTTGTAATTTTATGTATTCCATACACAGATCCAGCACAGACAAATAAACATAACAGTCGCAAGTTGTTCATCGAACAAGCATTTAACGGTCAATTTAAAAGTATCGTAGTTAGTAGTACCGCTACCTGTGGCGCGCATAGTGAATTCCATTGCGTTTGACGTTTACACACTACCGCCATCTATTTAGCGTACTACCCAACACAGTATACTCAACAGATGGCAGTAATGTTTTAGCGACGATGTTTTACAGTGAGTAATATTCAATGTGTCATGTCTGTTTGTCTGTGGATCCAGGATTAACAAAAATGTGAAAGTCTTAAGTTGAAAGCAAACTTCATTTTATTTTTGAAGATCATGGGGCTAAATTAAAAATTCTAAGAGAATTATTCAAGACATCGGACTTTGAATATTTATTCACAAAAAATATTTGTTAAAGTTCCAATTGAATTCCCGGTTATTTCCTGCATTTTCCCGTTTGTTTTCGATTCCCGGTTCACCTCGGTTTTCCCAGTTCAGTGGCCACCCTGGAATCCTGGAGAGAACCCTGGATAGATTCTTGGAAAGAAACCTGGATAAATTCCTGGAGAGTATCCTGGAGAGAATTTCAAGCAAATCCTTAGAATAAGTTCAAAGAATTGCAAAGGGCAATTCCAAAGAAATTGAAAACATCTGAATCAGAAGAATGCTTTAAGGAAGTTTTGAGAACAATTCCATAGTTCAGATAGTTCCAGCTAAATTTTTAAATGAGATACAAGGGAAGTTAAAGGAGAGTTCTCCACGAATTTTAAAGGATATTAAAGAAGCATTCTAAAAGATTTCTGAGTTAAGTTTCAATGAAAAATTAAGGAGAATTCGGATTCTGAAACGAATTCCAAAAAGAGTGTGAAAAAAATTTCAATGATAATTCTGAGTACATACCCAAGGATATTGTAGGGGGATTTCAAAACAATTGGGAGAAGATTTCCCGTTGAAATTCAGGGAGAATTTCTAAAGAATTCTGATAAAGAGATATGGAGAGAAATCCAAATGGGTTCTGAACAGAGTTCTGGTGAAAATTCTGGTGAAAATTCTGGAGATAGCTCTGGAGAGAGTCCTGGAGAGAGTCCAGGAGAGAGTCCGGGATAGTCCTGGAGAGAATTGCCAGTGAAATTCTGAGAATAAAATTAAAGAAATACATAAGAGAACTGCAAGGATATTCAGAATTTCTAAATCAGAAGAAAACTTCTAGAAAGTTTTGAAACAATTCCATAGGAATAGAATTCTGACGATAGTTCCATACACATTTTGAGATGAGTTCCAAGGAAATTCAGAAGAGAATATGAAGGCGGATGTCCAAAGAATGTTCAAGTAGAATTCCAAAAAATTTCTGAGTAATGTTCCAACAAAATTTTACAGTTCAAAATCCAATTCTGGTGAAAATTCAGGAGAGTATTCTGGAGCGAATCTTGGAAGAATTCTGGAGAAAATTGATTATGTTAAGAATGCCAAAGGAATTGTGATGAAATCTTCAATGATAATTATGAGTACCATCCCAAGGATATTCAAAAACGAATTCTATAAGGGTTGTAAGGTGAAATTTATGGAAACTTCCTAAAGAATTCTGATGGAGTTTAACGGACAGAAATCCAAAGCAGATCTGAAGAGAATTCTGGTGAAAATTCAGAATAGAATCCTGGAGATAATGCTGGAGATAATTCTGGAGAGAATCCTGGAGCGAACCCTGAAGTTAATTCTGGAGAGAATCCTGGAGAGAATCCTAGAGAGAATTTTGGAGCGAATCCTGGAGATATTTTGGACGGAATCTTGGAGATATTCCTGGAGATGATTTCAAGCGAATTCTGAGAATAACTTCTAAGAAGAATTCCAAGGATATTCAGAACTCCTGAATCAGAAGAATGCTTCTAGAAATTTTTGAGAACAATTCAATCGGAATAGAATTCTGACGATATTACCAAAATCATTTTAAATCAGTTTCAGGAAATTCAGAGGAAAGTTCCATGAGCATATTGAAATGAATTTATAAGGATTTTCAAGAATGATTTCAACATAATTCTGAGGAAATTTCCATTTAAATGTTTAGTAGAATTCTGTTTCTGAAAATAATTCCTCTTTTGGAAGAAGAAATCTTCAATGAAAATTCTAAGTACCATCCCCATGCTATTTAAAAGAAAATTCTAAAAAGATTGCGAGGGAATTTCCGGGTCAAATTAAACAAGAATTTCTAAAGAATTCTGATGGAGAGTTACGGACAGTCTTCGGAGACGAGCCAGCCAACGGCTGAAAGTCTCCTTAATAAAGAGATAAAAAAAGTTACGGACAGAAATACAAAGGAGTTCTGAAGAGAAATCTGTTGAAGAATCCTTGAGATAATCCTAGAGAGAATCCTGAAGATTGTGTGGAGAAAATCCTAGAGAGAATTCTGGAGAGAATCCTGGAGGGAATCCTGGAGGGAATCCTGGAGGGAATCCTGGAGGAAATCCTGGAGGGAATCCTGGAGGGAATCCTGGAGATAATTTAAAGTGGGGGGAGAGAATTCTGATGATAATTCCAAAAAAATAAGGTGAGTTCCATGGATATTCAGAGGAGAGTTCCATGAGAATCTCGAGGCGAATTTCAAAGGATTTTTAAGAAAGATTCCAACAGATTTCTGAGTAAAGTTCCAAAGAAATTTTACGGTCAGGTATCCAATTCTGGTGAAAATTCAGGAGAGCATCCTGGAGCGAATTCTGGAGAGAATTTCGAGTGAATGCTGAGAATAATTACAAAGAAATATAAAGGAAACCCAAAGAAAAAAAAAACATGTCCAAACGATAGCACAAATGATTGAACTATTGCCCAAACGGTATGGATGACACACTGAACACATCGTTAAGCTCATACCAAACCAATTTTATTAAGGGATACCGAGAGAATTCCGAACTTTTGAAACAGAAGAAAGCTTTTTCAAAGTTTTGAGAAATTCCATGGGAATATAATTCTGACACAGAACATTTAAATGAGTTGGAAGGAAATTCAAAGGAGAGTTGGATGAGAATATTGAGGTGAATTTCAAATGATTTTCAAATAGGATTCCAAAAGATTACTGAGGATAATTTTGAGTAGAGTTTCAAAAAAAAATTTTAAGAAGATTTCCAAGTAACGGATTTTGGAGGATAGTTCTTGAGGAATCTTCATAAGAATTTCAACCGAGTTCTGAGAAGAGTTCCAGTGGAAATCCGAGAAGAGTTGCAGGGGAATTCAGTAGACGATTCCAAGATGATACTAAAAAATAATTTCAAATAATCAATGAAAGTATTTGATTTTTTTTTTATAGTTCCCCAAGAAATTTTCAGATGAACTCTGAATAGTATAACCACCGACAAACCGACATGACCAAAGCAAAAATAGCAAAAATTCTGGTGAAAATTCAGAAGAGAATCCTAGAGATAATCTTGGAAGGATCCTGGAGATAATTCTGGAGAGAATCCTGGAGAGAATCCTAGAGGGAATCCTGGAGATAATTTCTAGAGAATTCTGAGAATAACTTCAAAGAAGAATTCCAAGGATATTCAGAACTTCTGAATCAGAAGAATGCTTCAACAAATTTAGAGGAAAGTTCCATAAGAATATTGAGGTGAATTTCAAAGGATTTTCAAGAAGGGTTCTAACATATTTCTGAGTAGATTTCCATTTAAATGTTGAGTAGAATTCTGCTTCTGAAAATAATACCAAAATAGGTGTGAAGAAATGTTCAATAAAAAGGATATTTTAAAGGAAATTCCAAAAGGATTACGAGGGAATTTCTGGGTGAAAATAAAGAAGAATTCCTAAAGAATTCTGATGGAGAGTTACGGACAGAAGTCCAAGGGAGTTCTGAAAAGAATTCTGTTGAAGAATCCTTGAGATAATCATGGAGCGAATACTGGAGATAATCTTGGATAGAATCCTGGGGAGAATCCTGGGGAGAATCCTGGGGAGAATCCTGGGGAGAATCCTGGGGAGAATCCTGGGGAGAATCCTGGGGAGAATCCTGGGGAGAATCCTGGGGAGAATCCTGGGGAGAATCCTGGGGAGAATCCTGGGGAGAATCCTGGGGAGAATCCTGGGGAGAATCCTGGGGAGAATCCTGGGGAGAATTCTGGGGAGAATCCTGGGGAGAATCCTGGGGAGAATCCTGGGGAGAATCCTGTCCTGGGGAGAATCCTGGGGAGAATCCTGGGGAGAATCCTGGAGGTATTCCTGGGGAGAATCCTGGAGATATTCTTGGGGAGAATCCTGGAGAGAATCCTGGAGATATTACTGGAGATAATTTCAAGTGGGGGGAGAGAATTCTGATGATAATTCAAAAAAAAAATAAGGTGAGTTCCATGCAAATTAGGAAGAGAGTTCCATTAGAATATTGAGGCGATTGTTAAGATTTCAAAGGATTGCTAAGAAAGATTCTGAGTAAAGTTCCAAAGAAATTTTACGGTTAGTAATCCAATTTTGGTGAAAATTTAGGAGAGAATCCTGTAAAGAATTCTGGAGAGAATCCTAGAGATAATTCTGGAGAGAATCCTGAGGAGAATTCTGAGGAGAATCCTGGAGAGAATTCTGGAAAAAAAATCCTGGGGAGAATTTCAAGTGAATTCTGAGAATAATTTCAAAGAAATACAAAGGAAAGCCATAGTAAAAACATACCCAAACGATAACCATTGAACTATCGCCCAAATGGTATAGATGACACACTAATCACATCGGTAAGCTCATACAAAACAATTTTAATTAGGGAATCCCAAGAGAATTCCGAACTTTTGAATCAGAAGAAAGCTTATACAAAGTTTTGAGAAATTCCATGGGAAAATAATTCTGACATAGAGGACATTTCAAAATAAGTTGCAAGGAAATTCAAAAGCGAGTTCCATGACAATGTTGAGGCGAATTTCAAATGATTTTCAAATAGGATTCCAAAAGATTACTGAGGATAATTCTGAGTAAAGTTTAAAAAAAAAATTAAGAAGATTTCCAACTGACGGATTTTGGAGGATAGTTCTTGAAGAATCTTCAGAAGAATTTCAACCCAGTTCTGAGAAGAGTTCCTGGGGAAATCCGAGAAGAGTTGTATTCAGTTGACAGTTCCAAGATGATACTAAAAAAGAATTTAAAAGAATTACTGAAAGTATTCGATTTTTTTTTATAGTTCCCCAAGAAATTTTCAGATGAACTCTGAATAGTGTAATCACCGACATGAATGACCATAGCAAAAACAATAACATTTCTGACCAAAGCACACTACTGACATCTGGCTCCATGTTCGCGAGAAATATTTAGCTAAGCCATGAATTCGCATTCAAAAGTTATGAATTGGTTCGGGTCTGATCTATTTTGGACAAATTATTTTTATCTAGATAAAAAAATCCTATGGTTTCGACCGTTCGGATCACTGCACATTTAAATCGGCCATTTACAATTTTTGGGCATAAGTCAGAATTAAGTGTCATGTCAGTTTTTCGGTGGTATAACAATGTATTTCTTAACAGAATTTCATGGAAATTTTGAAATAGATACCAATATAATTTTTAAAATAATTCCCTAGCAATTACGAAAAATTTCAGTAATTTCTCATGAGAGTTTTAAAGAATTGCTTTAAACTAATCCAATCAGAAACGCTCGATAAATTCTTATAGAAAACACAAACAAAAACGCGGATACATCCCAGTAGGAATCAGTAGAATGATCCTGAGTAAATTCGTGAGTAACTTTCATATGAGATTTCTAAGTAATTTAGCTAAATAACATAATTAAATTATTTAAAACCGGAAATACAATCAAGATACATCTGAAAGCAGACGTACCTAAAAAACACAAACTGCCTGCAACAGATCCCCATTTTAACGAGCTGCTCCAAACAATCGCCCCATGCACATAAATCAATCGCTATCCTAGCCAAAACGAAAAACATAAATCGCTTTTGCTTTCACTGATTCCCCTTGTCGTCCACGTGTATAACAACAACAACAACAACAACGCTATCCATCATCTTCTCAAGGTAATTCAATTAGACGCGCCATATCAAACCAAAGTGCTACGGCAATAAAGCAAATTGCTACAATCACACCAGGTTAAGGCCCACAACGATTCGCGCATAATTAATTCATGAGTGCGCGCCTCCTGTGCGTCCTGTGAACTAGAGCGAGAACGAATTGTAAATCAATACCCGGTTCTCCTCCGGCTCAGCGAGAAACAACCTTCGGGCTTTCCCATCACGGTGTACCGGTCGTGGGTCATCCTCATCCAATATTCATGAAAGTCCAGCACACAAAGTACTGTTCGCTCGTCGGCTTCCTGTTCCAGTTACTCGCCTTTCAATTTTCTGTTGTTAGTTTCCCCCCGAAAAATTGCCTAAACCGAACAAGAACGTGATTCTTCCGTCGGTGGACATTAGCATAAGACTGTGCATCCCAAAATCGACGGAAAAAAAAATGCGGGTTCGTCGCTTTGCAACCGGCAACCCTGCCCGTCCCGCGACCCAGGCTGTGTCGCTGGCGACACACTTGAGCAAACAGCCCAGAGAAGAAGTCATTGTATTCTCTCCATCCGTGTTACAACAACCCAACCCGATCTTACTGCCGCTGCTGCTGCTGATGATGATGGTAAACACCTCATTAACTGATTCGTGTCGGATTGTTTTCAGTTCATTTGTCACCACCGCACTTGAGGGGGCTTTGTGGTATAGATACATGTGGTACAGTACCCTACACGTTTCCATTGGCAAAGAAGCCAGGAAGAGAATTGACTGCATTCAGGTCGTAATTTTCGTTATGGTTGCCGTCGTGGTCTTCGTGGACGGATTTGTCATGTCGGCAACCACTTGCGCAAATATTGGATCTCACAATCGGGGATTGGGAAAGCGATCTGAGGATCTAAATGAATCTGACTGTAGGATTGGTAGGAGGTGTTGCAATCGTTGGGAAGCCCTAAGTGTTGTGTTTACGTCGGCTTCTGATAGTTATAAATACGACAAAACAACTCTTACCTGATACAGCCGAGCCGGCTTCTTCTCCTCACTTCCTGTAGATCCCTGTGCTGATTCCCGCTTGAACACGTACCCTTCACTGTGTCCGGTCGAGTCCGGCCGCGCAATCTCATTCTTCACCCGAATTTCACCACCATCGTCACTGAACGACGCACTCACATTGTTGTTCTTCACACCTTCCCGATTGTTGTTGTTATTGTTATTGTTACTACCACCATTGTTATTCACCACAAACACATCCGTACGGTTCTGCCGCAGGATTTCCAGGTTCTTCTGTTGTTGTTGCAAATGCGTGAAATATCCTTTGCTAATCTTGCTGTAGTTGAAGTAATTCTTATCGCCCTTTCCGCTGATTCCGCTGGCAACCGCTGCGGCGGCGCCACTGTTGAGAAGAAGATTGTTGTATTCCGTCAAAATCCGTGCCTTGTGGTTCTCCATGTACTGCTGCTGATTTTGCCGATGCTGCTGCAGATCCCGTGATTCATCAATATGCAACTCCCCACCGCTCGAGGAATCGCCATCGCCATCGTCGTTCTCGATGTCGATGTTGCTTTGACTGTCGTCTATTGTTTCCTTCTCGCACATGCTGGCCGGCGACCAGATGTGGATCGAGTGCGCTAGGGAAGCCGCCGCAGCAGCGGCAGCCGTGGCCACTGACGACGAAGATCGAGAGTTTGGCGTCGATGAGGACGGTTTCATCGAGAGGTTCAGTGGCATGTCTTCATCTGGAGGAACGGAAGCGATTTATAGTAGGAGAATTTCCTGAAATGTCGAGGAACTTACCAATGACTTCCTCCTTTTCCGGGGTTAGCGTGTAATCCCGCGAGTTGGTCAAGTTCGGCGAGATCGGAGTGATGGGCTGCTGAGGCAGCAGGAACTGTGGCCACAGAAACGCAGCACCCGAGTAGAACAGTGGGTTGTACAGCAGGGGAAGATCTGCGTGAATACATAGTTCAATTAGTTACCGATGGAGGCGTTGGCACCACGCTAAAAAAAAACTTACCTCTAGCGCTCCACTTTTGTCCCAGCACGGAACTGAACGCCGAAGCACGCTGGATGAGGTTCGTCGAGGCGGCACTCAGCTCCGGAGTCTGGCTGTTCATAACCGGAGGCGAGGGAGGTGGCGATAGGTGCGCCATCTGTGAGAAAACAAAACAAAAGCAATCCATGTTGAAATCGGCATTTAAATCCATCTAATTAATAATGGAACAGATCGTTTGTCGAACGTCAGCGTACACTGCCACTGTGCTGTTCGGAAGAATGAGAATTTCAAATCCACATCGTGAGTCCATCTGTACACATTATGAATAATTAAACAAGATACGTGGAGACAACTACGGTTGAACGTCGAAGACGAAATCATCCGCAACTAGGTTATACGAACAAGGACTGAATGGTTGATTCTTCAAAAGAAAACTACACTCCGCTCCCCCAGCAAATGTAATTGCTATTTTCATTGCGGAAATCAAACAAAGCACGGCCCGAGTTTGACAGCGTCGTCTGGTTGTACCCGTCGATGGGACTGTATCAACAATTAGTGTCGTGTTTCTCACTCCAGTTCAATGCAGATTTTAGAAGCGGCCACTGCATAGAGCCAGCGTCCATCAACAAGAATCAAATCCCTGTAATTATAAATATATACGCTGTTTACAAAGTGGTAAAAGCTACCAGTGACGGTGCAGTTCTTCGCTGGAAGCGGACTAGGGTTGAATTCAGTGCCAGTTAGCAAATCAATTTAATTTAGGATTTCTGCGAATCAAAGCTCGCTTTGTGTGGGTGACTCCAAAGCAGAATTGACTTTTGCGTATGGAAAATTAACAACAGGGCATGCAGTGAATTTGTTTTAAATTCATCTAAGCCATGTGAATCCGAGCTAATTGATGATTGTCGAATCGGCACAAGTATTTTTATTTCTACTAACCATCGATTTCGACCCTTTCCTAACGGACTACCACCCCTCCAGAAAAGCACAGTGACACTTTCCTGTGCAAACAAATCATCCTTTTCACCTCTTTTCACCCCATTTTCCCTTTTTGATTCCTTTTGCACGTAACTGGTTGTGGAATCAGTTCCCAGTTACTATTTGTATTGATTTTTGCCCCCTTCTCCGGTGGAGTATTCAAATGTCAAAGATAATTATAGCCCTTAGTCAACTGTCGTCCTGCACTGTCCCATTTGCATGGCTTCAAATGGGATTTGCTGCGCTCGATTCTGCCAGATATGCACTTTTATGCTATGGTACTGATCAACAACAAATGTGCTATACCTGTTGATTCGAACACAATAGTGTCTAAACGAATCAATAACATAATCGAATCATTTTCTCCACTCAAGACAGGTTTTTATTACCTTAATGTGAACAAGCTTGTTATCGTGTTTAAGGCAAAAGGAAATCATTTCTTGCAGGGAAGGTTCAATTTTCGGACCCCGTCAAACAAAACCGTCAATCGCAACTAGCTCACATTGTTTGTTTAAAGATCATCGTGCATACGATCGAATCTCCCCCGTACCTTCCCATTCCCACAATCACCGACCTAACCTGGCTGGTGCCACTTCATGCCCGTGCTATACACCCCGTCGAGAGCTAGCGTGACTGACGGAAGTGCTTTCCACTTCCGACTCTTCTCTTTATGACCATTCGTCGTCGACAAACAATTCAATCCAACAACCCTCTTCATATCAGCACCCAAAGTGCATGCATATATGTAGACATGTTCAACGTCAGTGGAACTCGGTGTGTGAACAGCAAATACACAACACATTCTACCTCGGTCTGCCCCTCCTCCAAGACCAGTTCATAATTGATAACCATTAACAAATTAGACGATAATATCGTCCGGAACGCGAGTGGGGGTAGCCGAATGGGGAATCGGCACGTGCTATGGGAAATGAAAGGGAACGGTGGCGCTGAACAGTTAGGCTCTGCTAGTGTGAAATCACCGATAATTCTCACTCAGTTGCAGGAATGCCATATGATTTCAAATAAAATCTTCAACGAGATCGAAACAATGTCTTCACATGTCTTCACCATTATTTTAATTTTTGACGTATGATTACGTCTTACGGCAACATATTGGGGGTGCAATTTCAAAAAACCAAAATCGACCACGTTACGAAAAGTGGTCAGGTTTTGATCACTTACAACTCTGTCAACAGCGGATGGATTTTAATTCTAAACAAGCCAATCGATTGGAAATGGTTCTACAAATCTGCTAAAATAAAAACTTTATTAATTACTATAGGGCACTATTGAAAATTACACAAATGTTCAACTGTTGCAATGGTGATCAAAATTATCACCAATTATCTGCAAAAAGCGCTTTCCCTAACACAGATTTCAAAATCGCATTCCATTCGGTTCCACCGGTCGGTCGTCATCGTTGCACATTGTTCTCCAGTACACAACGAAAGGCTGCCCGCAAGCCGCGAGCTGCAGATGAGCGTCCATTCACTGAAGATGGAGGATGAAGCCGCAACGCTACTGATCGGATTCAGTTGCTTATCGTGAGTCGCTGTGCCCCATCTATGCCAAGCGTGTCACCCTCGTTCCAAACAACATATAGCTCCGCATTATTCAACCATCACGACAAAAACGGTTCTTTTCAGGACCACCATAAATTATTGTTGTTTAAGAGTTCATTTTCATTGAACGTTCGCTCGCCTTGCTGCCAGCCACATCACCCCAAAGGTCTTTGATAATGTACCCAGCAACTAAAAGTTTGTGGCCAAATGCGTACCAGTATTGCAACGGTACATACAAATACTTGCAATGACCCAATGACCTTGTCAATTATCCAGAAACACTTCGGAAGGATTTCAAAAAAAAATCTAGAATTTATATGATTGATCGCACATGTTAATTTTAAGGACCATTGAAAGTTAGTTGTGAGGTGAACTTCGATCGAAATCTAAGGATTTCTCTCAAGGTAATAATTGTATTACCATGATTCGGCTTTAATTTCCTTCCACTGCTGTGCTTAATGGTGACATCAATCGGAAATTACGCTTACACTTAGTTCCTTTTATTGTTAACAGAGGGCAGTGGAGTCAAAACATATATGGTACCTCTCTCGCAGTTAGATGATTTTAATCCGGAGACCCTTCTTTTATACATTTTATACGACAAAAATACTTGCCAAGTTCCGCCCCTGGATGGGAAATCTAATTGCATAAATAAGGGTTCCAAGTTCCAACAATCTTTCAGGGCTAAGTACTATATGTTGTAGTCTGTGAAAGGGAAATCACATATTGTGTGGCATCAATATACATGGCATGTTGACAGGGGCCTCACTTAGCTCAGTCGGTAAAGGCGCAAATACAAAGCAAGACCATGCTGGAGGTGGCTAGATTCGATTCCCGGTTCGGTCTAGGAATTTTTCGGGTTGTAAAAATGGAACAGGCATCGAAAGCTTCCCATTAATAACATTGGAAGTGCATCTAGAACACTTAGTTGAGAGCACGCAATAAGCTAATATCAAGATCAACAATTGAAAAGGCCTCAACTCCATTTTGTTTACAAACCTTGTAAGACCATTTTCTCGTGAACCGAAGTCCGCCAACGCAAACCAACAAAACGAGCAGGTAGGGGAAATTCTCCCCTACCCGATTATATTTAAAGTTTGCGAATGTCGGTTTTGGTTCGCGAGAAAATGGCCTTCCAAGGTTTGTTTACAAAATGGAGTTGAGGCCTTTTCGATTGTTGATCTTGATATGTGATAAGCAATTAGTTTGAAATCCGAAGAAGAAGAAGAAAGAAGAAGATATTGACAGATTGAACTCTTGGATTTGAATTTTTCAGTTCTCTTGGGACAGTTAGTAAAGTGGGTAAAAAAGGTATGGGAAGCACAGCTTTTATTTAATTGTAGCTTAACAATACTATCCTGGAAAAAAAACGGAACGACAAAGTCCCTTACTGATTTTTTTTTTAAGTTGTCGTTAACTTTTTCTGACCTGAATATGCATCGAAAGCGAATTAGTCCCACTTCTTTCAATTAATATATGGGGATTTTCATCACTTCCTACCAGCGGAACAGCGCCATTTCTGTAGGCAGGTAAACACCACTTTGTGTATAAAGCCTCATTGCCGATTTCAACGATTGGGACTAGTGACACCGAAGCTACCAACTATTAAACAACGATTTCCAGACGTTGGATAGGATTTGCAGGACCACGTAGTTCAACATTAGTGTTGCTCTACACGGAAACAAATCCAATCTCCGAAATGAGAAAAATGACTCATGATTTCATGAACATAGCGTATTTTTGTGTTATAAAAATACACCATGAATAATATTCATGATATCATGAGCTATGTTTGCGTAACGCACCCAAGATTCCCGAAATCATGAATCATCCGAGTTGAAATAATGACCAAAAAATAGAAAAATAATAAAGCATCAGACTGGATTGGAACCAAGAATTTTACGATCATTAAACCCATACTTTGACCACTAAACCAAATATCAGTACTTGTATAAGATGGAAGGCAAAAGGCGTATAAGAGATATCTATGTAGTGCGGTGAACACAGTTTGTCAGGTAACGCTTGTAGCGTTCATGATTCCGCTGCATTATGAAATCATGAATTTCCATTACAAAATCATGAATCATTGTTATGATTTCATGGGATGGCAAGTTTTTTCATTTCATGATTTTTCATTCATGAAAATGGAATCGGATTTTTTTCCCGTGTACAACCGGTCAGGTAGGTTGAACTAGTGTATGTCCGGCCGAAGCCTTTTTCTCAGTTCTAACACCGACATTTCGACCTGTTCTTTCTAACCATTCGGGAATCAATCGACCGGTATGCCAACCGGTAAGCGAGCTGCTGAGCCATCATCGTACGATTCCTTTGGCAACTACTGATGACGGATTGGTAGTTAGGAATCTGCGAAACGCTGACGAGGAAGAACTACCAGCTACACCACAACGTTGACGAAACAATACGGGCTTGGGAAACACCCATCGAACCTTTCGGCCAGGTAAATTTACGTTTAGATATAAGCCAAGCCGTAGCTGGTTTTTATGTTGATGCTGCACCACAAAATAAATTTTACCTTTTCGATGAAATTTGGCAAAAATTTCTTACGGACGCAATCTATGCTCAAGGACTTCATTGGACGAAGCGTTGAGTCGTTTTT